CATCCAGGCGCAGCTTGACTCCACAAGGACAACAGGTCCAAGGGTCTGAAACATTGACCAGATGGGCTCCTGAAGCCACATTCACTCCGACAGCCGTTGGTCTTTGCCAGGGTGACAGTTTCATTGAGAAGGTCCCAGAAAGGATGAAAGCCAGGATGGAGCTGGCTATTCGCCAAGGGATTGCAGCAGGGCTCCAACACGCTGTAATGTCCAGACCTTGCCCTGTGGCTACCGACCAAGAGTCCCAACTGCTGAGGTCACTGACCAGGTCGGAGCAACACCAGACCCAGGTACATTTACAGGGGGAAACCCCACTCCAAGAGCAGCAGCAGCAGGAGGAGGAGGAGGAGGAGGAGGAGGAGGTGGTGGTAGACCAAATCATTCAAATGGCCGAGTCTGAATTGGGATCAATGCACAATAGCAAGCCCTGTCAGAGGCAGACCCCTTAGAAGGGGAAATGTCTGAGGATGAAGATCTTATTCCTGACCAGCCTGTTTTTACAGGCTTATTCCAGCCACAGCTTTTCAAATCTCTCTTGTTTAAGGCAAAGAACATTGCAGGCCTAAACAAGCCAAAACCATTTGACAAATCTAACCCTTCAGGGGAAGGACCAGAGGACACGATCTTCAACCAACCAGTAGTTGAAGCAGAGGTAATTCCAGTTCCACCCATATTTTCAGACCTGGTGCAGAAGCAGTGGGCCTCTGCAGCGGTGTACACATCCCCAACTGGACATGATAGGAAATATTTCAACTTGGACCCTGATTTTGCAAATTTATTGAGTACCCCTGAGGTAGACAAACCTTTAGTGGCTTTAGCATCCCCCTCTATTCCCAATGAGGCAATGGAGGCCTTAAAGCCAGAGGAAAAACGGGTCAAGCTAGCCCTATGCAGAGCTCATCAGTCTGATGCATGGGCTATCAGATCAGCCACGGCCTCCTCCTCCTTCACGCGGTCATCTCTTAGATGGCTTCGTCTTTTGAAACAACACGTTCCTTCTTCTAACATTAGGGCGCACCAAGATATCACCAAACTTACTGCAGCGGCTGAATTCTCTGCCGATGCTACCTATCACGCAATCAAGTTTTCAGCAAGGGCCATTACCTCACATGTCACAGCGCGTCGCTTGCTATGGTTAAGACACTGGCAAGCTGACTTCAAACACAAATCCAAGCTGGCCTGATCCCCCATTGTGGGAGATAGACTGTTTGGCCCTTCCCTGGATCCACTACTAATTGAAGCACGCAACAAGAAAAAAATTCTCCCTTCCCTTTTTCAGAAGTCAGATCCTAGAAGCCCCCAGTACTTTCGGAGAGGATCCTTTCAATCCTTTTATCAGGGATCCTTCTCTTCCAGATGCCAGAGACCCCCAGCAGTTAGACCAGGACAGCAACCAGATAGGTCCGACTCAGTGGACAGAAGTAGAAGGGGTGGTCAATCCAAAAGATCCTTTTGGGGTGCAGGGAGCAGGCCCTTCTGGCGACTAAGATAACTCCCGGGACCCAATCCCCATTGGCGGACGCCTTCAGTTATTCGCTGACCAATGGGACTCCTCTACCTCTGATGCTTGGGTCAGAGATACGGTTAGATTCGGCCTCGCGCTGGAGTTTAGATCCACTCCCCCAGATTCCTTCATGTCATACCCTCCTTCCAGACCCGATCAAGCGTAATCTCATGGATTCCGCTATCCAACATCTACTGGATATACGAGCCATCCAACCAGTAGCTGCCAATCAATGAGGGCAAGGTTTTTATTCACATCTTTTCATTGTGCCAAAAAATTCGGGGGGGGGGGGGGTTCAAATTAGATTTGAAACATCTCAACCGTTTCTTAGTATATTGCAAATTTAAAATGCATACCCTCCAATCAATATTACTGGGCATCAGGAAAGGGGATGTGCTCACGTCCATAGATTTGACGGAGGCGTACCTGCACATTGCCATTCAGCCTTCCCATTATATGTTTCTGAGATTCTGCTACAATAACCACCATTTTGAATATGTGGCCCTCCCATTCAGATTAGCCTCGCAGCGCTAGCTGCCCACCTCAGGAACATCCCTGTATGCCTCCAGTGTTATCTTGACGATATTTTGATCTTATCTCCTTCCGCCCATCAGGCAGTCATAGACACTCAGAACACATTACTATCCCTACAAGAGCATGGCTTCTTAATAAATTGGAAAAAGAGTCAATTAACACCATCGACTCGGATAATTCATTTAGGGGCAGTCATAGATACGGTGGAAGGCAAGGTTTATCTGTCACCAGATAGACTAAATAGCATTCAAAAATTAGTTAAGGAGATCAGGTTGCTTAAGAGGGTGTCCTTAATGGATCTATCAAAATTGTTGGGCAAAATGATCTCATGTATTTCTATTATCCCTTGGGCCCGCCTCCACACTAGATCCTCCAGTGGTTCCTGCTACCGTACCAGCGATCCAGCCGAAGCAACTCCAAACACAAAGTCAGGGTTCCACCCAAGGTGCTCATGTCTCTCCTCTGGTGGTCCAAACTGGTTATCAACAGAGGCTGTCTCTTCAAGGAGCCACAAAGGCTCACCATCACCACAGATGCCAGTCTGTTTGGATGGGGAGCTCACGTCCAGTCGCTCACAACCCAAGACCGATGGTCCGACATAGAACAGTTGTGCAGCATAAACTGGCTGGAACTTTGCACAGTACACCTGGCCCTTTGCAACTTCCTCCCCCAGGTACACGGTCAGCACATACTGATACTGACAGACAATGTAACAGCCAAAGCTCACATAAACAAACAGGGGGACACACAATCAAAACAGCTAATGCGGGAAGTGGAGCGCCTGTGTCGCTGGGCGGAGAACAACCTACTTTCCATCAAAGCAGAACACATTTCGGGTCTGTCAAATACACAGGCAGACTGGCTAAGCAGGGCCACCATAGATCAATCGGAGTGGCGCCTCCATCCATCCCTGTTTCAAGAAGCGGCACGAACATTTGGTCAGCCGGTGGTGGACCTATTTGCTTCCCCTCTCAACACTCAGCTCCCGAGATTTTTTTCCAGGTACCCATACCAAGGGGTGGAGAATTTCAACTTGCTCTGCTGTCGATGGTCCCCGGGGCTCCTGTATGCATTCCCTCCACTTCCGCTGGTTCCCAAGGTCATCCAGAAGTTGCTAGACGAGACAGCGGAATTACTTCTAGTAGCGCCTTACTGGCCCAGACGGCCATGGTTCATAGACCTCCGCAGTCTCTCGGTAGCCCCCCCCCGGAGAATCCCGTCAAGCAGAATCTCATTAACTCAGGGGCCCCTTCAACATCCGGATGCTCAATGGTTACAATTGACCGTCTGGAGGTTGAGCAGAGTGGTTTGAAGAGTGAAAAGCTATCCAACAGAGTTATCGACACTATTTTAGCCGCCAGACGCCCCTCAACAATTCGCATTTATAACGCCACATGGTCCACCTTCTGCAAATGGTATAGTAAGTTTCAAATTAATCCTGCCTCTCCTTCTGTCGCTCAGATTCTAGAGTTTTTATAGGAAGGACTTGATAAGGAGTTCACACCTAATACGTTAAAAAGGCAGATGGCGGCCTTGGCATCAGTTCTCACTTGCAAGGGCCTCAGTTCTCTTTCACATCATCCACGCATAAGGTCTTTCCTTCGAGGAGCCACCAATTTACGCCCGCCAGCACTGCACCGTTATCCCACCTGGGACCTTAACAAGGTCCTTGTTGCTCTCCCTAAGGGACCTTTCGAACCTTTGAAAACGTCAAGTCTCCAATTTCTGACGTACAAAGTAGTTTTCCTTGTAGCGATCACCTCCGCTTGTCGTATCTCGGAAATTGCAGCCTTGTCTGTCCGACAAGATCTCTGCGTGTTTCATGCTGATCAAGTGGTCCTTCGTCCTGATCCCACATTTATGCCCAAGGTCAATTCAGCTTTTCATAGAGCACAAGAGTTTATTCTTCCAAATTTTTGCCCCAGACCATCACAGGGGATGGAAAGACAATGGCATAAGCTTGATGTGAGGTGTGCACTGCGAATCTATATCAAGCATACAGCAGCTTTCAGGAAATCGGAGGCTTTATTTGTGTCTTTTCAGCCCAATACTCAGGGTTACAAGGTCTCACCATCTACGATAGGCCATTGGATATGGGCTGCAATAGCAAAAACATATCAGACTCAATCTCTGCAGGTGCCATGGGGCGTAACAGCTCATTCAACAAGGAGCGCAGCAACTTCGGCAGCTTGGGCCACACAGGCACCAATAATTGAAATCTGTCGGGCCGCGACTTGGGCTTCCCCATCACCCTTCATCAGACATTATAAAACTGATGTGTTTGCCTCTGCTGAGGCTTCCTTTGGCAGAAGAGTTCTGCAACGGACCAGGAGGAGATTCCAGACCAGACGGAGTCCCTCCTGTAGGACAGGCCAAGCTTTGGTATGTCCCACTACTGGATGCTCTGAACAGCTCATAGGAGAAAGGGTGTTGGTACTTACCTGACACGCCTGTTCTCTTTGAGCTGTGAAGAACATCCAGCCCCACCCTTTTTTCCATCTGGTGGGGTCCTGTTTCGGCCAATGAACTTTTTAGAACATGAGGATGGGAGTGCTTATTTCTCTTGTCTTCGCCAAAACTGGGGAATGCTGAGGAGTCGTCATGTGGAGGAGGAGGAGCGTTTCACAAATCAAGCTCAGCCTATGAATGCGGAGACTGAAGCACCTCTCACTACTGGATGCTCTTCACAGCTCAAAGAGAACGGGCATGTTAGGTAAGTACCAACGCCCTTTCGCTTACTCACGGTTTGCTGACTTTCACTCTTTCTCTTTTCTCCAAAGCGTTGATACTATATTTTCTTTCTTTCTGAGCACTCTCTCCTCATGTCCTCTTTGCATGAAGACAGAATCAAAAACTGGGCATGTGCAGTGGAAAGGGGCTGGACTAAACTTTGATTGACTCCATCTTTAAGCAAGGAAGGAGGAGGCAGCTCATTCTTTGGATTCTCCGACCCGTACAACTGAGAATAAGCATGCTGCTTATATTTAGATTTAAATTATCTGGACTGTACTACAAAAGGATACCAGAAAGGAATCCTCACAAGAATAAATACATGGTACATATCAAAATAGCATTTGCTCTAACCTTTCTGCATTTCAAAACAGATCAACTGCTGTTTAGATTAACAATTATTTCAGTGTTGCGCCCAAAGAATCTCAAAATTAGAATTGGGGTTACAAAATTCAGCAACTCTTGATGTATTCAGAAGTTAAATTTATAAAAGCATTAGAATATATATAGAAGAGAAAGAGAAATGTATAAATGAATAACAAATGTAATAGAACTGAACATTTAATAGCCAAAATTATTGTCTATTATTGGAAAAAATAATACTGTCCACATTTAAAATGTAAATTAAAATACAATCAATTAAAACCTTCAAATCTTCAGACATGCCCAAATAAAATGTGCTGCAAATATATAAGCACCTGAAGATTTTATATTTCCAGTGTCAATCTCACTTTATATTTTTGATAAACCAACAAATAATTGATATTTATCCATTATAAGTCTGACAAAAATAGTGCTATTATCTGGCTTCTAACATCATCCTCTTTTAGACTTTTAAGTCTAAAATATTAAATTTGACCCAGTCATAAAATATTGAAAACTACTACTACATTATCATTTATCAGCCTTCCATCCTTCCGAGCTCAGTAAAATGAGGACCCAGATCATTGAGGTTATATGCTGACTCTGTAAACTGCTTAGAAATGGATGTAAAGCACTGTGAAACAAATGGTATATAAGTCTAAGTGCTGTTGCTATTGGTGGTGATTTCTTAAGAAATTATAATTTCAGAATTCAATAGAATAAAACAATTAAAAGGACAAATGCAAAAAATATTCTTGTTTCATCATATTCACAGAATGGACTGTTTGTTCCTTACTAATTTCTGTTCTAACTGCTGTATACAGAAATGTTTCCTAAACTTCATATTTTATGTATATTCAGTTGCACATTACAATTCAATATATCTGCCTCATTGAGTGCAATGTTTACTGCACGATTTTTCACTGTGTGAAAATGTTCATTTATAGAAGCAGCTGAATTACTTTCAGCATTATGGCACATCAAATAGTATGTGCCTCTATTCCTCTTTAAATGAAGATTCGAAACAACTGCAGGAATTGCAGTGATCATCTCAGTGCTCTAGTGAGCTAATATTTGTATTGGAATGAATTAAGAAATAAGAGCTAGATTTCTGTATTTTTCAGATGTTAGAAATCATTATACAGTAATATATAAATTCAGAGCCTATAGTCAAAACATAGGATATGCAATTAGTGCACATTTTAATAATATTTAATACCATTAAAGTTGCACTGCAAGTGATTATCATCAATGCTCTGGCATCCTCAGCACTTCAGAAATTCAAAACTTCATTCCACCAAAAGCTGTACACTATCAGTCTGTTTCTGTGGTTGCTGCTGGTGGTCATATTTCCTTGCTAGAAAATAAATACATTTAGATATTAGGCTGTAATCTGAATGTATAGCTAAAAGTGATCCACACAGCATAAATAGGGCTTATTACCAAAAACACATACCAGGATTGCTTTCTAAATTTTTATTTAGGATCAAATCTTGTATCGGTGGAAATAACAAACTGTAGTGTAAGTTTACCAGTTTCCAATACATTTTGGATCAAAATTAATCATTTCTCACAACTACCAAATGTAAATTTTTAATCACGAAAACTTATAGCAAATTGTAATAGCAGCACCAAGCCAAAGAAGATCTTTAGCAGTTATAAACTATATAGGAATAAAAAATATATAAATATATTGTTTAGTTGGGGCATCAATCTACTACTAGGTTTGATTTTAATACTATACATGCAATCTTTTTGGGGTAAAAGAGGGATACCTATTCTAAGAACCAATAAAGAAAGCTGCTATTGAGCAAGGTACCACCTATTCTGCAGGTTTGGAAGGTTGTTGTTTTTTTGCCTAAGTGTAAAACCTTATTTTTGTCACCATTGAATTTCATTTTGTTGGATAAGGCCCAGGGTTCAAGTTTATTAAATTCCTTCTGGAACCTGAGCCTATATTTTGGAGTGTTAGGTACTGTTTAATGTCATCTGCAAATTTGATGAATTCCCCTTCTATTCCCTCACCTAGATCTTATGAAATCACTGAAGAATACTGGGCCTAAAACAGAACATTGAGGTACTCTCCTGTATACTTCTCTCTATATAAATGTGGGTTCCATTAACAACTACATGTGGAGTTTGATTAGTCAGCCAGTTATGAATTCATCTGAGGATGCAGTCTAATCCAATTTTTTCTATATTACTAAATAGAAGGTTGTAGTCTACTTTATCAAACGCCTTACTAAAATCTTTTTATGTCTATAGCATTTCTCTGGTATACAAATTAAGACACTTTGTCAAAAAGTGTATTCAGTTTTATCTGGCATGATCTATTTTTGACAAAAAAAAATAGACTTCTGGTTATAACTTTGCTTGTCCCTGGGTGTTTGCAGATTCGTTGCTTATCTTTTTCCAGGATTCTCCCAGGTATTGATATCAGGCTGATAGTTCTACAGTTTCCTGTATCCATTTTTTTTCCTTTTTGAAGATGGAAACCATGTCAACAGCTCTTTTTGAATCTTCTGGTAGTTCCCCAGTGCTCCAGCATCTTTGAAAGATGGTTCAGTGGTTCTGAACCAGCTCTTTCAGAATTCAGAGTCTGCCCGCTCTTTCATAATTCTGGGGTGTAATCTGTCTTGATCTGGTGATATGAACTCATCTAGAGTGAATAGGTGTTCTCTTACTGATTTCTTGCCTATTTTGATTTGTCTTTTACAGTACGTTTTTTGAGAGTTTGGATTCTTTGTGGAAAGACAGATACAAAGAATGATTTAAGCAGTTCTGCTTTCTCCCTGATGCCAGTCACCTCCTTCCCATCTCCTACTATTAGTGGGCTGATAATTTCCTTTAGTTTTTTAATGTTTTTATATATTGAAACAAACTTATTTATTGTTAAAATTCACTGCAAATCTTAGTTCATTCTGAGCTTTAGTTTTCATATTTGAAGTTTGGATTTATGTGCTGATATTCTACCTCAGTTATATGCCCCTCTTCCTACTTTTTATATCTGTCCTTTTATCAGAGTTTTTTGTGCAACCATGATGGTTTTTTCAGCATTATTTTTTTATTTTTTTTCCCCAGTAGTATTGGGTTAAACTAGGTTTTTATAATTTCATTTTTCAAAGTTTCCCAAACTTCTTGAACTGTTTTCCCCTTGAGGATTTCCATCCATGGACTCCTTTCAAGCATTCTTTGTTGAAATCAGCTTTCTTAAAGTTCAAGACTCTTGTTTGACTTTTTTCTATTGCCTGAGCTTGAATTGAATATCAATATTGCCTGGTTGCACCCCCGCTTCCAAAATTCCCATAACTTCAACCTCTTCTGTCATTTCATCTCTGTTAGTGAGAACTAAGTCCAGTATGGCTGACTCTCTAGTTTCCTTCTGTATTTTGGGGGAGACAAAATTGTCTGCTAGTTCTATCAGAAACTGTTTGATCTTCCACTAGGTGCAGAGTTTGTCTCCCACTTAATATCAGAATAGTCAAAATCTACCACATTACTATTGTGGTGTGCATCCTGCACACTGTAGTGAACTACAAGTTAATATTTATTACAGCCAGAAACCAGACATCAGAGCAAATATTTATTACAGCCAGTTAAAACACTTAAGGAATATGCACTTAAAAATTATAGAATAAAGTAGTGAATAAAAGATAAAATCCATACTAAAATCACAGCATGTCCTAACTATACCATAATATCAATCCTTAAACTGTGAGACTTATAGTCATTAAATACTAAAATGCAAAAGAGTATATAGTACAAAAGGGTTTGCTTCATTAATTGTGTAAAATAGCTATGATGAATCACATTTCCAACAAATTCCCAATGCTGCGACACAGAATCTAGCCACTGCACTGTAATTACAGTCTATTCGTCCTTAAGCAGCCATTGGAAATTCGTAATGTTGGAATGGCCAGGATATCTATCAATTATTGGGAGATATGGTTTCGTTAATATCTCAATAAAATAAGCATTGAAGAAGTATGCGTCAAAGAGTCTTCACCTCTCCTGAGCCACAGGGACAGTCTTTTAATCAATGGTATTGTTGTATTCACAGAACTGACAGAAGTCCCCACTCTGGTCCGCCGTTCTGGTGGGAGCGCCTATCACTCCCATTGGCTGATGCCGTTTGACAGCCGGCTATAAAAGGAGCTGTCAAACGGCATCAGCTGTTGCCACCAGCTGATCTGCCTGTTAGCCCCAGCAGCCGCAGCAACCCTTTATTAGCAGAATAAAGCCTTTACTGTTTAGCTCTGGTGTCTGCCTCGTATCTTCCGCCGCTCCACAACACTGGCGACGAGGGTGGGATACAATAAGAGGTGACCAGACATAAAACAGCTGAGCTCTGTCACTACAAAAAAGAGCCGGAGCCACTGAGAGCTGATTAGTTGCAGTCGCCTACGCTCCCCGTGAGCGCGAAGTTTAAAGCCTCTACAGCTGAGGAGACAGACACTGCCTGACAGGCGCAGCCGCAAGCGCTCTTTTGAGAGCGCGAAGTTTAAAGCCTCCCCAGCTGAGGAGTTAGATGCTGCCGCCTCACGATGACTTCTAACCCGGCATTCCCACCATTCAAGCCGACAGCCGAGACGTGGGAATCGTATAAAAATCATTTTTTCTGCTTCCTAGATGCGATAGACCTCACAGACGCCACAGACCATCAAAAGAAATCCTATTTCCTTAGCTTCTGCGGAGCCGCGGTTTTTGACACCGCCACGGCACTGGTCGCTCCGCGTTCTGTCAGGACTATCCCCTGGGAGGAGCTCCAAGAGATCTCTCCAACCACTACTCCCCTAAGCCTTCCCAAATTGCTAGGAGACATGCCTTTAGGAATAGAAAGCAGGCTGAGGGGGAGTCAATTAGTGAGTATGTGGCAGCCTTACAATCAGCTGCCCTACAGTGTGGTTTCAGGGATTACCTAGAAGATATGCTCCTAGATCAAATTGCCTGTGGGGTCAAGGACCTGAGACTTCAAAGACATTTATTAGCAAAAAAAAGACCTGACCTTAGCTATAGCCATAGAGGAATCCCAAGCTGCTGAGCTATCTGCTCTGTCAGCAGCTGAAATTACACAAGGCAGCTCAACTATTCATTCTGAGGAAGTCTCCCTAGATGAGGATCCTGAAGACCCAATCGAGGTAAACCGCCTCAGACATAAGAAGCCCCCTCTAGAAGGACCCAGACAAAAAACCAACCTTGCCCCCAGGCAGCAACCCATCTGCCTGAGCTGTGGAGGAACCCATCTCAGGGCATCCTGCAGGTTCAGGAATGCAATTTGCCTGAACTATCAAAAGAAAGGCCACCTAGTTAGAGTCTGCGAAGCAGGGAGAACCTTTCCACAAAGACCTCAACCTACTCCTATTTTCCAAAGGCAAGTTGAGGATTGCTATACCTGCTACCACTCAGATCACACTACAACAGGCTCTAACAAAATAAGTATCTTTGTCTTTCTAGAAGGTAAGCCTTGCAGGATGGACGTGGACACGGGATCTGCACTTTCTATCATCTCCTGGGCAACGCTAAAGAAGATGCATCCCAGAATGTCCAAGAAGAAGCTCCTGAGCTGCCACCTGACTCTGCGAGATTACCAAGGCAAGGCCATCCCTGTCCTCGGGAAAGGCAAGTTTCTAGTCCAATTCCAAAACTTCAAAGGCCACCTGCCCTTAGTGGTGGTAGATGGTGCCCTTCCTACTTTACTAGGATTAGACTGGTTCCCTGCTCTTGGCCTCAGCATAACTGGTATCCACGTTGTTTCAACCTCTGGAGTAGACATCCTATTCAGAGACTATTCTGATGTATTTAAGCGAGGATTTAGGGTGTTACTCTGGTACCCCTATTTCATTCAATGTAGCCCCACAGGCAACTCCCATCTGCCTTAAACCATGTAGGGTACCTTTTGCTATCCACCCCAAATTAGATTTAGAGCTAGATAAATTACTAAAGCAAGGGGTATTAGAACCAGTAGATTTTGCTAGATGGGAGACCCCCATAGTCACCCCACTTAAGAAAGATGGCAGCGTAAGAATCTGCGCAGACTACAAGACTTCCCTCAATAGATTCCTACAAATCAGCGCCTACCCTGTCCCTGTCATCCAACATCTCTTACATACCTTTGAACCTGGGACTATTTTTGCAAAATTAGATATGTCCCAGGCCTACCAACAGTTCCCTGTAGATGACCAAACTGCAGAATTACAAACCATAGTCACACATAGGGGTGCATTTAAGTGCAAGCATCTCCAGTTTGGTGTAAGTGTAGCCCCTGGGATTTTTCAATCCCTAATAGAGAGGCTTCTCCAAGGACTCCCAGGCGTAGTCCCCTATTTTGACATTTTGGTTTCAGCTAGGGATGAAACA